CATGTGTACGTGAGCTGAGGTTGAACTGTGTCGGTCGCACGAATTCACGTGTACGTGAGCTGAGGTTGAACTGTGTCGGTCGCACGAATTCACGTGTACGTGAGCTGAGGTTGAACTGTGTCGGTCGCACGAATTCACGTGTATGTGAGCTATCTGAGGTTGAACTGTGTCGGTCGCACGAATTCACGTGTACGTGAGCTATCTGAGGTTGAACAACTGTGTCGTACGTCCTAGGCCCGTCCACTGGCCCGGCACTCGCCCGTGTTCCTGTCCGCAAGGACGTGCCCAGGATGTGGCAGCAGGCCCGGTGGATCCGAAGGTCGAACGAAGAGGCTCCCAAGGCCCCAAACAGGACAATCCGACCCATACGAACAGCTGCGATGGATTAAGATATATGAAACATTTAAGTCTTTTACTTCTGTTAAAAACAAGACCACTGATGCTAAGCCCCCGTCACCAAACTGAGACTTAGTTACAGCTTCAAGTCCCCCAGAAACGGAGTGACCAGCACCAGTCAGTTGGGTGATCTGCCAGATGGACCCGTGAGCAGTGAGCCTGCAATCACCACCCGATTTCCTTCCAGACCAAGTTCCTCATCCGCCCCCTGCTCAGAGCCTCTCACCTTGTCCAGCTGCTCGGAGCCCCTTTCCAGCTGCTGGGTGGGAGGCTGCCCCGTTCAGGACCCCTTGAACAAAGCCAATGAGATCTTTTAAATGTATTCACTTAAATTTTATTTTGTTAAGACTTTATAGCGATATTTGTAAAAACCCTTGGGAAGATGCTAACGGCAAACTCACTATCCTAGAAACTGGTAGATACAAGGGGAAGAATCAGGCCTGTGTACCCCTGTCCTACAAACTGCACCTCACGGCAACAAGGAGGTAAGGGGGACACTTCTGGTCATTAGGTGAATATAAGAAGGGAAATCTCGACAGAACAAGGACACTGCAACTCTCAAGAGCTCGGTGATAAATCCGAGCAACGCTCACCGATGGCTGCTAACATCTCAGGAGACAGACAAGCCAACATCACGTACTTGTTGGAAGGCACCACTATGACGCTGTCTTTTAAAAAGCGCCCCCAGGAGCTGGTTCAGGTTCCGATTTCTAAGAAGACACAGGTCAGCGGGGCTCTGAGGCTCAACAGCGTGGGGCAAGGGCGTCAGAACGCCTGGGGTGCAGGAAGGTGTCATCTAAGCAACGGAACAGCATCACCAGGCTCCTAATACCGTGATTTCACTTTTCCCCAAACACCCATTGGTGTAAATCATGACCATCAGGCACAGTGTGGCCCTGGGATCACCTTAATCATACAGCACACATCATAAAGCACATAATTACACAGAAAACCACTAACTTCCCACAGAAATAAAAATCAGTCCTTCTGCTATCGTGCTGCCGCGGCGGGGGTAGGGGTGCATGGGGAGGGAGCCTCGGTGATGAGCAGCCTCCCAGTCATCTCTGTCCCCGTGAGGGGCTTCTCTAGACGCTCGGAGTCCTTCTTCCAGGTCCTGTGACCTGTCATGTTGGCCATAACTAACCCCAAGTCAATGCCACTCGGGAGCGCGTACGTGGGAGGTCCTGGGAGAGCGGAGAACCGCGAGGCTCCCGGGGCGCTGCCGGCCATCGGGGACTCCTCTCGCCCGGCCCCAGGCGGCTGACTGACACAACGGCAGCTTCGCGACTCAACCTCATGTGGCTGACGGCAATCGTTCGCTTTACACCCACATCAAGAACCGCGTTTTGTTGTCCTTTATCCACAAAACGTTGCCCAGTACCTGTTCAAGCATGATACTCAACGGTTTGTGGGCGTCACTAAAGACCCTACTAACCCATCATGATCGATGTCACTGTTTGCAAAGTAAACCGCGGGGCAACGGCATCCAAACCCGGGGAGGCTCGCCGGCCCAGTGCAGGCCTCCCAGACGCGGCACCTCCGCGGTGACGAGGAACTGCCCCCGTGACGGGCGCGCCGCCCGTGCTCTCACACTCGAGGTTTCAGATGACAGAGGGCCTTCAGACCCACCAACCCACCGTCCACAGCCACAGGCTTCCTGCCTGACGTGCCGCAGACTCACCGAGGCGCTTAGCAAATGCTGGAGCCACAGGGAGGCCCGTGGCGGGGCGACCGTGGACGCTGGGGCCCCACCTGTGCCCGCGACACACAGAAGGCGGAGAGCAGGGAATCCAGAGCCGGACGAGCTCGGAGCTCCGCTGGCCAGGATGCACGTGTGCATGTGTGCGCGGGTCCGTAAACACCACCGGTGCCTGGTTCACCCCACCCTCCCGCGAGGCCACCAGCTCCCACCTCAGTCCCCCTGTCCTGCCTCCGTGGGGTCCTAGTAGCTCACGGACTCCATTCCATTCTGCTTTAGCTGTTCACCAAGAACCGGACGGGGAGGGAGGGCCCAGGCCTCCCCACCCCCTGGTACATCAGTGCCCCCGATCCGGGACTGTCGGCCCGGTGCCCCGGGTGCGTGATAAAGGCCAGCCCTGACCGGGTCATGGACCAGGGGTCCTCAGCAGAGGCAGCTGCCCCTGCAGGGCGTGGGGGGAGGGGAGCTTCGAATGGCTGGGCCAGAATGCAGGGGTAAGCAGAGACCCCCCGCCTGTATCCGGGGTCAGTGTGGGCCCACAGAAAGGCATCGAGCAGAAGAAGCATCTGCCGCGACTTGCTCCCAGAAAGACAGCTGTGGCCACGGGGAAGGGGGCCGGGGACACATGCTGGGGTCCATTCCAGACTCCAGCCGAGGCTTGAGCCCAGGACTGGCCCCAGGAAGGAGACCCCAGCACTGACCTGCGATGACCCCCCCCCGCCACCGAGAGGAGAGGCGGCCTGACCCTCCATGGGGCCATCCCATGGCCACTGTGAGCGGTGGCTCACGGGCCCCTGGGCCAGGTCACAGGCAGCAGGCCCCCCAAGGAGGCCATCAGCACAGCGCCCCATGGAGGGAGGCCTTCCCCGTGTGGCTGTGGCAGTCAGGGCAGGCTCTGAGCCGCCAGCGGGCACACAGGAGAGCCGAGACCGGACAGAGAGCTACAGACCCACTCTGTGCACTGGAAAATGAGCTACTCAGAGTCTGCCCCGCACCTGCCTCCCTCCCTCGGCACCAGCTCCCCCATCTCCACAGGGAGCAAGGACAACAGGGGGGCCTTCCCATCCACTCGGGAGGGGCTGTGGGGCCCAGCGGGCCTCGTCCATAGAGCAGGATGCACAGCGCCATGGAGGTCTGCAGCTTGGGGGACAGAGGAAGTGATGCCAGTGAGAGCACAGGCCGGCTGCGCATGGCTCTGACCCCCTCGGCCGAGCACGCGACACCCTGGGGTCCTCACTGCTACCCCTGGACACGGTGCTGCCGCCGCCACGCCATGGAGAGCCCACGCTCCAGGCTGCAGAACGACAACCAGAGTCCAGCCCCAGTGTCCCGCTCTGGAGCCCGAGCCACTGCGGCGCAGCTGAGCAGGGAAGGACTAGATAACCTTCCAGCCACAAAGGTCAGCGCTCCCCAGTGTCCGCGCCACGAAACTGTGCTCTCACTCATGCGGGAAGCACACCGCCTTCCCAAGTGCCCTTCCCAGCGCGGGCGCACCGGGTGAGGGGCAGCGCGGTCCCCAGCCCTTCCTGCCCCCGCCTTCCCCGAGGTGGCCATCCCACGTGCCCGCTCCCAGCGCGGAGAGCACCAGAGAGCCGGGGAGCCCCATCGAGGGGAGACTGACTTCAGCCTCCCGCTCCCAACAGTCACCGACAAGGGACGTGACAAAAATCAAGTTTCTAAACCTACAGGAGACGCCGGTGGGGCCACCCCACCAGAAGGAACCACCCACCGGCCAAGTTCAAGTGGCCAACTGTGTTCACACGTGCAAGGGTCTGTCATCAGAGTTGTGGCTCAGGACCACTGATCTGGGGTGTGTACGAGACACCGCCATCGGCAGCACAAACGCTTACACGTGGACACAGACACGCAAGGGCTGAGTTGCTGCGATGGCCCAGCTGGCCTGCTCCGCTAGCGCCACCCACAGCGGCACGGAGACCCAGACACAGCCTGCGAGGGACACAGCCCCGGGTGGACACTCGCCACCCCATCCGTGCTGTCCCTCGGTGGTCAGCACGTGGCTTGCCCCGTCTAGTGAAAACCACTTTCAGAGTAGGGTGGGGAGGAAGGGCAACAAGTAATTTAGTGCAGATGAACCACAGCCAGGGGTCCAGCCTCTGGCTTCGGTTACGAGACGGCCAGGAGCCCGTGGGCAGTGACCCAGGCCTGGACTAGGGTCAGGCTGGGCACGGAGGAGCATGGGGCTCTCAGCCCACATGGGTCACGCTCGCTCTGTCCTCCGGGCACAAACCACTGACCTGCTGAGCCGTGAGAGCTGCATCCACCGAATTCCACAGGAGCTCCTGTCGTTTTGAGAACCGAAGCCAAGCCTGCTGATGGTTCCCCTCCAGCCGCACTGGGCTGCGTCCTAACCCAGACGAACTTTTCTCCTCTTGCGTTAACCCGCTCATCGCAATAACCTCCAGGACCAAGTGAGGAGCATCTTGGGAGCTCCTCACCGGGTGTGGGCAGGTAACAGCCTCGGGCCTGCAGCCGGACGCCATGGGGATGCCACAGGGACACCACGGGGACACCACGGGGGTGCCACAGGGATGCCACGGGGACGCCACGGGGACACCATGGGGGTGCCACGGGGATGCCACAGGGACACCACGGGGACGCCACGGGGGTGCCACACCACGGGGACGCCACGGGGGTGCCATGGGGATGCCACGGGGACGCCATGGGGATGCCTCGGGGATGCCATGGGGGTGCCACGGGGATGCCACAGGGACACCACGGGGACGCCACGGGGGTGCCACAGGGATGCCACGGGGACGCCACGGGGACGCCACGACAGACACTGTCCTCCCAGACCCAAAACACACTCATCTCCTACAAGGACCAGAAAAGCTAAGGGCAGGACTTTGAGCTTTCAGGTCAAACTAAGGATTAAAGTGGTCCCTACCTGCAGGTGAATGTGACCCCTCTGGTGGGTCTCTGACAAGCCTGAGGACATCAGGTACATCGATCTGAGGGTCACCTTCTTCTTTTTCGGCCTCATTGGAGCCTCTCCGGGAAGAATGATGGTTGCGTCCAGTTTTCTTGCGCAGGACAAACCTCCAGCAGTCAAACATGAGTCTGCAGTGTGAGAAACAGATTTTCAAAGGAAAATGAGCTCACCCTGCCCAAAGACAGCATAGTCGTTTCTCGAAGTCCTAACAACTAGATGCAACCTTTTGCAGTGTTTATTCAGAAATGGAGAGAGTACGTTTAAAAGGAAATTAATTTTTCTCCAATGAATGTTTACTGCCTCAATGTTCAGTTAAACAAACAACCTTCTTTTATGATATTGGCACGGAATAAAGGCTGCATAAACAAAAATATTATTTACTTCTGCTTAAAAACACAAAGTCCTAGATTTTCCCCTTGACATTTAGGCTCTTGTTTCAAGGATATAAAAATCCCTGATTCCGTGGTTTCAAGGTCACAGTCTAATTCACCGAACTGGCAAATTTTCAAAACCACTGCTGATTGCTTATTCAGATTACTGAAAAGCATGTGAAATCGTCTGAGCAGAGAACGTCCTCCTGAGTCCCAGAATAAACATTAAGGTACGATCCCTCCTGTGAAAATCCAGCAAAAGAAACTTAAGTCAGGTTTTTGGGAGGCAATCCTGAATGTAAACAGACGGCTGGTAAGGACCCTTGAGACAGAAAGCCCCGGAAGTCTTGTGTGGGGCACAGGGCTCCCAACCACGCGGTTTTGTGCTGGTGTCTGAGCTCATGTGTGGTTCCTTATGACGTCCCCCTGTTGACTCGGTAACTGGCAGGCCTTGTCTTCGAGAATAAAGATGGACATGATCTGACTTGAATATTATTACCAACGATATCACCTTTCCACCTCAGTGTTTATGTTCTGCCTGATGCATTGGGGTGGTTTTATCCCAGCCCCAAGCCACGCCCCACCGGGAGGAGGCCACCCCGGGGCTGAGCACCACCCACTTCCCTTCCTCCCACCAACGCCCCTTGCCATCCCAGCTCAGGCCCCACCACTCTCCCCCTCAAGGCTCTCCCTGACAGCCTGGCCCCCGACGGCCAGCCCGCCCTCCATGCTGTTCCCAGGTCTGGCTTCCTTTCAGACCCCCAGGGCAGCTTCGAAAGCCCACCACTGCCTGCCCACATCTAGGGAGCAGTTTGGACGAGCAGGGCGCTGAGGCACAGAGCCTGGCCTGTCTTTGCAGGGAGGAAGGAGCCGCCACCAGACTGGGGTAACTCTGGCTGGCAGACACACAGCCCGGTTCCCTCATGCGGCAAGCACCACCAACCCCACAGCCCTGCCCAGCAAGAGACCCATTTCCTCCCCCATCTTCCTGCCAACACACAAGCTCAGGGCTTCCCCTGCTGGTCCCCCAGTATGCACGGGTCCCTCTGGTTTTATTCCCACCGCTGCTGGCCCCAACTTGCTCGGTACCTACACGCGTCCTTCGTGTCACTTCTCTGGGCATGCGCTTCGGGTCCCGGTGATGCTTTCTGGACCTCTCTGCCCAGCACCAGAATGAGGATCCCTCACGCTGAACCCGAGGGACAATGAGCCGCTCTCCCCCAAAAGGCCCTGGGACCGCTGCATTTGCGGCCTGTCTCCGGATCCAGGACCATCAAATCGTGTTCCAGGAACGGCGCCGACGGCGGCCACAGTCAGACCGAAGCTAATGATTTCCGATTGCCTCAGTCTGGCCTTAACATGAAACACGAGGAGGCACATTTCCCTGGTTAAAACAAAACCAAACCCCAAACCCTGTTTTTTCCCTCCTTTCTCCCACATTCTGCTCAGAGGATTTCAAACACGAGCAGGCTGATGGTAATCTTAAACCTCTGGACGGAAAGAAAAGGCCCGGTGTGTGATTCCACCTTTGCTCCCAGGAGAGCTGGGCTCCTGCCCCTCCAGCCTGGCCTCTGGCCCCCCCACCCGCCACGGAGACCACAAGCGTCGCCAGGCACTCAGTCTCCCGTCTTGAGACCCAAGCAAGACGGTCCAAGGTTTGTTTTTAAGGAGTTTGTTCTCAAAAGAATGCCCTCCACCCCTCTTGGCTGGAGGACCCATGAGGCTGTCCCCGCTTCCACCGGCAAGGTCGCAGCCAGGCAGGTCAGCCCCGAGCACCCCGAGGACGGCTGGTGCCGGGGGCTGGAGGGGTGAGCCCCTGCCCCCAGGACTGTGGTCCTCCAGCGGCTCTGGACACTGCCCCCCCCCCGAAGCTCCCAGGCAGAAGGCGGCATCTCAACAGTGGTTTCCCACAGCTAATGTCACCCCGAGGGCACAGAGCTCAGACCCAGATGGCAGTCCCGTTCACTTTAAAAATCTCCAGGCTGGGGGCGCCTGGGGGGCTCAGTCAGTGAAACATCTGACTCCCGGTTTCAGCTCAGGCCGTGATCTCAGGGTCCGGGATCGAGCCCCGTGTCGGGCTCCATGCTCAGCGGGGAGTCTGCTTGAGATTCTCTCTCTCCTTCTGCCCCTCCCACCCGTGTGTGCAAGCTCTCTAACATAAGTCTTTTTTTAAAAAATAAAAATAATAAACAAACAAATAAGAATCTCCAGGCTGGCATAACCACCCAGCACCAAACTGTTCTGTCTTCCACTGAAAAGTTCCCAATAGGTGAGGACCCGGAGCGGTGACAGTCACCAGGTCTGGTTCTGTGCCTCTCTGGAGGCCAGGCATCTCCCTCGCAGCACACAGGGGACTTGGGGGCTGGGTGGCAGGGACGTGGCCGAGCACAGCAGAAGATCCAAGCCAACCAGCGTCACCCGCTCCTCCTTCTGCTGGGCCACCTCCCTGCACACCTGCTTCGGTGCTGAGGGCATCAGGCAAGCCCTGCCCTGCAGGAGCTCGGAGTCCCGGGAGAGCGGCCCGTGCACACGCACACCTGGGCTCGGCGTCGCTCACACACAGTGCTGTCGCTGCACCCGGGGCACTGTGCACGCTCTCACTGAGACGGCCGCCTGAGGACAGGAAGTCTGACACTCCTCTCCCGCTGCTGCTTCCGAGCGGGAGCCCCCCACTAGAGAAATGCACCGAAGATGCGAATGTCACAGCTGTCTGCACTGCGGTCTCCCAGACAAGCGCATTATCAATCAGTTACAAATCGCCAATACTGAAAACGTAGTAGCATCATTCAAAAGCAGAGAAGGCGGTTCTAGGACAGAGAAGCTGAAGGTGGAGGGGACTTGTCATTCCCCCGTCTTCTTCCCCCCATGGGCCACAAAGTCGAGATGTCCTAGCACTTCCTGCAACCTCGCAGTATCAGACATCCTACTGTGGGCAGAGAGTTCTGGAAGTTTCACTCAAGGAAGTCAGGAGGAAGCAGGGTTACGTCCCCATCTCAAAGAGGAACATGCCACAGACAGGCTAAGCCGGCCGGGAGCCCATGGGGAGTCTATAAGCCCCTGGGCGGCCCGCAAGAGGGGACCACCCCTGCCTCTTCCAGTGGCCACGCCAGGCGACCGCAGCGCCAGACTCCGCCCGCGAGTGCGGCCTTCCTGTGAGCCGGCGCCTGGCCCACAGCCGCTTCTGCAGGTGCTTTGGTGAAGACCGACCCCATCCTCTCCTGCCCTGTCCAAAGGACGAGAGCATCTCTGCTGCCCGTGTGTGTCCAGCCCAGCGAGTCTCCCGCCTGCCAGCAAAGAGCTTCACTAATGTTCTCGTGAGCAAATACAAAAGGACAAATGCAGTAAACGCTTCTAACTACTTCTCCAGGAGCCTCTTAAAATAATACGACACCCACGAAGTCGGGGACCACGTGCTGTTGGTTGGGAGCATTCCAGGCCGGCTTGGTTGCGGTCCACACACACTCCACGTCCTCTGCTTCAGCTGCAGGATTCTGTTCACATTTCAGAAGTTCAATAACGTGGCGGCGGACAGCTCTCCTTCCACAGTGATTGGGATCTCACCTCGACTTGCCCAGATGCTGCTTTCCCAGATAAATATCCCATTTTCAGTTCAAGACCGCAGTGGGAAACCTGAGGCTCAGAGAGGGAGAGGGTCATCTGCAGGCTGATGGTGTGGCCGGTGAGCACCAGGGAGCAACAGCTGGGGGGCAGGGGGGAGACTCTGCTGGAGATGGCTTTCCAGCTGCCTGAATCCTCCTGACTGTCAGGGGCTCTGCAGGGCCAGTCACTGTGACCCCTGCAGGATGGCCTCCTTCTAGCTCCCTGTAAGTTCTCCTGTAAGAAAACCTTGCCTCTCCTGCTTTGAGAAGAGTTGCCCCAGGTCCTCCAGGCCCCAGGGCCCCCACCCTGGGCTGTGGGCCCTATGTGGCAGAAGCTCTCTGCACCGACCTCTTCCCTGCACAACTGTGTGAGGCAAAACTGATGCCCCAGGAGCATTAGCCAGGCCCAGACCGTGACACCACGGTGGGAGGGCGCAGCCCAGCCCACAGGGTGGGGAGCGGGGTCCTGAAAAGCAAAGGGGTCCTAAGATAGAGCCGGATCACCCCAGCGAAAGCCCCCTCCTCACCCCCCCCCCAGGTCGGGGCAGGACAGTCCCCTCCCCGGTGGTGTGAGCAGAGGGCGTAGGTCCCAGGAGGATGGGCAGAGCTCAGAACAGCCTGGTCTGTGAACTCGGGTCTGCAAACCAGCTTTGGCCCGTCATCCCCTGGATTTGCACAGTAGAACGCCCGCCTGCCTGCCGTTGCAAGGGCTCCTTCCCCAGGGTCCGCACCTCCTCACCAACCTGCCAGGTGGGGTCCCCTGCTTGCCGCAGGGGGGGGCCTGGACACTCTGCAGCCAGCAGCCCCTGGGGACCCACTTCTATTTTTGTGGTGCCCCTGTGGCTCCCAGCGGCCACACATCCTGGAGCCTCCCACAGCATCCCCCCCCCCACATCCTGCCGTGCTGCTGGGTCATCTTAACCCCTTCCTGGGCCAGGGCTGGTGGGCAGCCTGCTAGGGCCCCTGGAGGCCTCTGGCCCCTGGACGGGGTTGTCTCCTGTAAGGACCGGAGGCTGTGTGCTCAGGACCAAAGTCTGCTCCTCCCCAAACTCCCTCTTAAGTGAGCAGAGCTGCTCAGGAGGAGCCAAGGAGAGCAACAGGGCCCCTTTCTTAAAAAGTGATTGAACAGCCTTTGAAGTTGACTGAAAAGAGCC